GTAAAAAGATAAGAGAACCTGCCCTTTTCTTTTCTCCTGAGATAACCCTAACCTCATTATGTGTGTCCAGAATTAATCTAAATTCATCTAAATCTGCTTAGATGCTAGATTGTTCAGTACAATTGCTTTCTCATGGTCAGCATCATTCATTGGTTTCTTTTCTGAACACAAATAACCTATCTGGAAAACATAAAATCTTAGAATTAAAAGGTACCTCACAAGAATAAAGCCCAAACTTAAGACTTAGCATAACTATAATCAGACTCTAAAGATTCTAAGTTTTTAGGAATTCTTAAAATATAAGTTTTTAAATTCATTTATTTATTTGGTACAGGGTCTCCCTATGCAGCTCGGACTTGTAGTGATCCTCCAGTCTCAGCCTCCCCAGTGCCAGGATTACAGGCATGCGCCACCATGCCCCGTTTTGGTGGCCAATATGGCCCAAGGCCAGCACAGCATGAGGTACTAGGGATCGAACTCGGGAACTTGTACTTGCCAGGCATGTGCTTAGACCAGCAAGTTATCTCCACAGCCCAAAATATTGTAATTTTAATGTGGGTAGCTTAGGATATCCTGTGCATGTGTGTACATACCTAAAGAAAATGGCATAAAACTACACTTCGATCTGCCTCCCATTGTTACCTGCTTGTCTTCCTTTTCTGTAACTTGTTCCACAAAAAGCCCATGTCAACATCTAGCATGGTGATGAAACTCACACTCTGGTCTCTCTAACATCACACTGGCTATGTGATACCATGTACCTGTGATAGAGGAAACTGCACGTTCTTGTAGTGTTTTACAAAATAGAAGGGGTCTCAATGATGTCTATATTGGGAATACTTATAAAAATAATTTAAAACACTCACCTAAACTAGGAATATGGTAGGTTGGCTAACCAATACTAAAGTAAAATAAAAACTGGAAATCTGTATAGTTAATTTGAAGATTAAACATTAGGATCATACAAAAATGTGTCACATTCCCTAGGCAGCCTAGAGGATGGCTCTTAAAAGAAGACCCAGGATTAGGAGTGTCGCAAAGAACGGAGGGTCAGCTATACACAAGTTCTTTTTATTAAACATACTGGGTATACCAGGCATGGTGGCATATGCCTATAATCCCAGCACTCAGAAGCCTGAGGCAAGAGGGTGACAAGAGGGTTGGAGGCCAGCCTGAGTTACCCACTGAGTTAAAGATCAGCCAGATTTACAGAGCAAGGCCCTGACTCAAAAGACAAAATAGCAAAAACAACAAAATAGTGGGAGAAACACAGTGGAGCTTCACAGGCTTTTCACTGCAGCCAGTGAGAGAAACTGGGCCTGATATATGCAAGGAACAGCCAAAACCTTATCTTACTGGGACACAAGGTGACAAGGTAGGAGGCAGCTGATGACAGACATCTGAGCTAGAAAGGAAGGTCTTTGAGAATTAGAGGCTTATTTATCCTCTAAAGAAAAAGATGTGGCTACACTAGATGGGCCAATTATTTGAGACACAATGAAGGGTTGGGTTCCCATCAGCAGACAGACACTGGAAGAAAGGTACCCCAAAGGGTAAGAAAGCTGCACTTGGCTGCTAAGGCAGGTGGTCGAGTTTGTTTCCAGCAGGCAGGTGGACGTGCTAGAAAACTATTGGCAAACGACTGCACATAGGCATTCTTCTCTTCCTTTGTTTCACCCGTTCTCTCAATGAGCACCCAACATAACACTCCTTGAGCTCCCCAGAGATGATCTGAGGAATGTTGGCAGATCATCCTCTTCACAGAGAAACAGAGGCTGCAGCCCTGGGAAAGCTCATCAACTCCCAGGCAGGAAGCTGTGCTGACCCAAGAAGTCAGAGAAGTTAACAGCCTGCCCTTTCTTGCAAAGCTTGGAACATTCTCTAAAAGGATTCACGGCCAGGCACTGCACTAGAAAGCAAAGGCAATGAAGACCACATGCACCACAGCCAGTATCAGTAGCAATAACACAAGAGAAAAACAGGTAACCAAGGTCAGGGTCAGGGGAACAGGTTAGAACAGACATCCTTGAGGGGCTAATGAAAATGATGGCCTTGCAACTTGCCTTAACCCACCTAAACAACCTCAGAATAAATGACTGATACAAATGCAGAAGGTGTTGTTAATTTGGGTTTTGCCAAAGCATTAGACACAGTAGCACAAGAAATTTTATTTGGGAAATTAATTCAAATTGGCTTGGTTCAGTACACAATAACTGAAGATTAAAAAGTGGCTGAAGGATAATAAACAAAGGACAGTCAGGTGACAGTCCATGCAGTTAGAGACTTGAGGTCAACACAAAAGCCTTTCTTATTGAGGGGTTCTATTCAGGGCCCAAAAGAGGGAGTAAACAACTCACTAATGAGATCTACAGAGGACACTGAGCTGGGAGGTAGAGGAACCACATCGACAGGGCGATCAAATCACAAAGCAGAGTTGAACCGGAAAAAATATACCTAATCTACTACCTAGGGGGAAAGAACCCTAAACTACTCAGATAACATTCAACAGGCAGGCAGGATGAAGGGTAGAAGAGTATGTAAAAAGAGCTGTGACACGTTCTTATGTGACACAAGCAGGTGAGAATGCTGGGGGCAGGGGGATTTAGAGGCTGTCATAGGTGAATGGAGTGCTTTGAGTCAATGTCAAACTAAGAGAAAGCTGAGTGTCAGAACACAGGTGGTCTGGAAGAGACTGACTTCATTATTTGCAAAATAAATGAATAAATAAAAAAAAAATGAAAGGTAGACTCTGCACTGGAAATGTTTTTCAGTGGCTACAAAAGTAGCACTGCTGCCTAGCAGGTGTTCTGGTCTTTCCTGGCACTCACTTCACCCTGTGTAGATCAGCATCTACATGGTGGCCCTGTGCCACTGTCTTAGGGCTCACTGGCAGTAAGGTTCCAAAGGAAACCCACTCATAGCTCAGACTGGCCATGTCTCCTAAGGCCTTGTGAGGCCTGGGTTGCCCAGGGCAATGGCTCAGGGTTTGGGGAAGCCATAATTTCTGTCTGTTTACTCAACTTGCAACAGTGTGATGGCCTCGAAGCCACTTTTTTCTGCCATCAGTCTAAAAGCAAGGCTCAACACAATTATCTCTAGGCAGTTCAATGCTATAGCAAGCAAACATCTCGTATTCCTGCAGCACAAAATCAGCATTACAGGGCTGTTTCCTTAAAACCTAAATCTTAAAACACTTCCCCTTTATATGTGTAGTCAGTAAACAACACTTACAAGATACACCTTGGCTATTCCTACAGCATAATAAGAGAGCTTCTTCCTGCTTCACTTTCCAGGACAGCTCTGCAAATTATTTCCATGCTTACCTTCCTGTCAGAATTACACATTCACTAATGGTACCACACACCTAGCGCTAGAAATACGAGAACACATCTCACTGCATTTCTCTTAGTACTTGTTTGCCTAAGCTGCGCTTGATGCTGCCATCAGTGCCCATCCTGTGAATGCCACTTACAGTTTAGTGACTGTCCACTTTCTGAAGGGGCTAAAAAGCTACATGATGCCACAGGATTAGGAGATGTGCCTCTGCATTTCCCATCATGGGTTCTGTGAGCCTACCTGGAATTAGTGATGATACAGGAAGGTGAGGGGGATTATGAAAAATGGCAATTACTGATGTATAATATATTATCTCTTTAATAGTGGCCACAAATGGGATGTAAACAATGATATGGATATTTTCACTAAAATGTTTTGTACCTGAGAATCATGTCCTAGTAGCCAGGGCTATAGCACAGTGACACTGTGCCTGTCTGGCAAGCACAAGGTCCTGAGTTCGATTCCCTGTATACACACACACACACACACACACACACACACTCACACACAAAATACCCCCAAAGCCTCAACAGCTTGCCTGACAATCAGTCTTGATTTCTCAGCTGACATTCTGTGTGACATTCTATAGATGCTCTATCCGTCAGGATGTGATACCATGTTAGAGATAAATGTCACACATCAGGGCAGTGTTCTGGGACAAAGAGCAAAAGTGGTGATCTCAATGACAAAGTCTGAGGCTGAGAATAGGTAATAACACACTCAAGCTCAATTTCCCTAACCAGAGAGTATAACCTGATAATGCCCCAAATTCTGGAGCTCAATGGGTCCTAGAGGCCATGGAGAGGCTGCCAAGTGAAGCGGGCACACACCATCACTGTAAGGCAAGGGGTAGGTATACTTGGTGGGGTCCAGGCAGTATGCTGAGCCATCCAAGTTAGCGCAACACTGAGTAGCTCAGTTTTAGAAATCACTCCACTACCAATACTGCCTCATGGCAAAAGTCTCCCAGAGTAAGCGCCTTGAGGAATGTCATTGGCAAAAAACACTGCTGAGCAGTATGCACGTCCTTGGGGCAACCAGCCACCGGGATGAAGGACAAAAGTAAAATGTCACAGGGCTTCTCAAGTGCTCTCCTGCCAGCTGTCAGAAGTGTGTGAAACCAAAACTCATTTCTTAATAAATGTTTTCATTTCCTTTGTACATGACAAAAGGTCTAGAGGTGGTAAGTGGGAGGGGCTAGGAGAAGACATCTCGGAAGGTAGAAGACAGAGGCAAGTGTACTGTGCACCAACAGGGCTTCCCTGCTAGTCCTAGGGGTAGTGATAAAAATATCTAATATACTGTTCCTATCCATGGTTCTTTTATGCCAGTATAGGGAGATCATATCTAATATATTTTTGCATATTTGAAAAATAAGGCCCAAATAAACTTAACAAGGCTTGGCCTGCAAATTTAGTGCCTTCTCATTTTTATGAATATAAGCTCTATTAGCTTAAGATTTCCCAACCCATTCGGCTCAGGCATAGGCACAATAGTGAGACTGAATAAAGGGGGCTCTGAGTCTCTACGTGTTTACTAGAGGCATGTTTTGGACTCACCTGGCCTCCGCAGCGAGCAGCTCATCATAGTGCGAGGACCGCTGGTCATCATCCTGCCGGTATCGGATCACTGTGGCCAGACCTTTGCTGACAAGAGCCTCAGCAATGTTTCTGCAACAGAAAGGTAGGTCAGTGAGCACTAGAGGCACACGTGGGGCTCAGTCAACAGAAATAATAACAGTTAGCACCTGGAGGTCTTAACGCATTCTGGCAGAGGGAGGGAGAAGCTAAAGATTCCAAGACCAAAGAGCTGCTAAGCTAAACATCCAAATAGAAGGCTGAATAATAAAGTCCCCTAGCTCAGCATTTTTCTGGTTAGTACAGTCAGATGCTATATCAATCCATACATAAAAACTAGAAAAAAAATTTGTAAAAAGCCCACATTAGGTTGGGCTATTTACAGAATGATATAAACAAGTCACTACCCTCAAGAAAAGTCTGTTCTAAAATATGAGGCACAAAGATAAAAAACGAGACACATAAAAGCATGACCTAAATTTCTCAAAATCTCCTTCCCAGCCTATACTGTAAGCAGAAAATGCCTTGTTTTACTTGGGCAATGTTAGAAATGCTGGTTTAACCTAACAAAGTGCTTCTCTTCTCATCACGACTCCTGACAGTGGATCTCCCACCCAAAATGGGCTTGAAGGAGAGCCACGAACGCACTGGGGAAGAGGGACACTGGGAAGAAACTGATCTGCTGGAAGGAAATCAGATGGGGAAAGGAAAACCAGAAAGGCATAAAACAGCAGATGACCAGTTTTGAGTCACACTCCAATAGGCCACAAAGGATCTCCGATTAAAACTGGACATGAAGCAATTCTCAACTGCAGTTGAATCTTTTTTCTTCACTAGAACAGGAAAGCTGCTCCCACTAGGGAAGGAGAGGTGTCACTATAAGGCCCGCTGCAGCTAGGAACTAGAGAAGGTGCATGGGAAAAGACACTAAAGCAACAAAAAAAGCCTATTTGCATAGTCCCACCCCAACCTTGAAAGAGAACTTTAATGTGAACATCTAACTGCAAAAACATATTTTTAGAAAATTAACTATAGCACATTCTGGAAAGCAAGACACATGATATTATTGAGGGAGCATGGTGGCTATGTCTTTCTTTGTGTCTGTCATGATTACACCAAAGGCTCCCCTCACACCATCTGGTTCACTGCCCTTTAGGGAGAGGGTACAGTAAGCAATAGGCTGCTGTGCCATATGCTATGATTTAGTATTGTCTGAAAATGTAGTTAACTCTTAGCACACCAGTGGTCCTTAGAAAATGACACTGTAGGGATGTGGGAGCCAGACTCATCAGTACTGGTGCATGTTTAAGCCATTTAAGGGCTCTAGACATCTACCCTCAGGAGAACAGACTTAAAAGAAGCAAAATACGTGCTAGTAGAGAAAGGAGGAAAAGATGCTGCGGCTGATTCACTTCTCATTCTATGCCCCTCTGCTGGCTGTTTATCTACTGCCAGCATGATATTAATATCTCCAAACCACCACGGAATTAGCACTTCTCAAAATCCACTCCCACAAAGAGGCTGCTGTGCTGGCCACCCTGTCTCCTGAGTCACCGCATAAGCATGCTGGCAAATGCTGTCATTATCACAGAGTTGTGTTTGGCAGCTCCGAGAAGGTAGCAACCCCAAATCAGCAGATGTAGATGTTGCTACATGGAGAGGATTTAACTAAGGTTGTCACCAAGGAGCCCTAATGGGGCAGGAGAGAAGCTCCGCCTACCAAAGAGCTAGTGACAAGGATAGGAAGGGGGGTAGGGGCCAACTATACTTCTGACAGTTTGATATGTCCTGGCAATTTTAAATGCCAACAGAATAAAGAAATATTTGTTATTGCATTATGATTTACTGAACACTGACATTTTACAGCCAATACATGGGGGCTGGAGAAGGCTGGAATCAGAGCACAAGCAAGGAAAATTTCACAGACGAGCTTCCAATACTAAGCACAACTCTTTAATGATCTGGTCCTATTAATGCTGCTCAAATCAATTCCCAGAATCACTGAGTACCTGCCAGGCTGGTACAGCACCTAGGGCACAAGCCCTTGCTACTCTTCATCGTCCTTGCCCTCTTTATCCCACCAGAAACCGTCAACAGTTAAGATTTGCCATGCGCATGCTCACTCCACACTCTTCCCACGGTTTGCCTCTCCCTTCCTTCTAAAACTCAGCATCAGAGAGCTGTGTTCTCTCAGTTTCTTATCCTAATTACAGATTTCCCCTGGAGGAACAGTTGTAGTACTGGTGCATAGCAGTAAAAAGAGGAAAAAAAAATACATGAAATAATAATAACCTTCATCATTGGGCATTTACTATATTCCAGGCATGGAGACTTGCACGTATTCTCTTTATGGTGCACCCCCCCATAAAGCATCATAAATTATCAAGTAATAAGTACTGCAATTACTAACTCAGTGTCTACCTTCCCTGCTAAACGATGAGCTCTGTGAGGTCAAGGGTCACATTTTTCTTACTCTCTGCACCATTTGCTAGCAAGCACTCTGCACAAGGCAGACAATAAATATTTTCTAAACTGAATTATTTAGCTCATTTGGGGTAAGAATGACTTTTCAATGTAGCAATTTATTTTACTTTTGCTTTAAAACATCCAGAAAAAAAAATTCAGATTTTTTTTAAGTGTAAGAAAAACACCCAGTCATTTTGTAAATATAATGCTGGAACATATTTTTCTAGTCAAGTTTGCCAGGCGTAGAAACCAGGACAGTAACTTTCTCCATGCCTTCCCAGCTTTTGCCTTTTTCCTCCCTGTTATCTGACACCGCAATATGAAAAGCGAGTAGGAGCGAGTGAGAACAGAATTAGCCTAGATCCATGTACTTGACTGTCTCATTCATTTCTTTTGGCTGCTAATGAAAGGTCAGGAGATTTCTTTGGCTAAATATGGCTCAGAACCCAACACTAGCACGTCGATAGGCTGCCCAGTAAGAAAAGAGGACATTTAGTTGTGTGCCATTACATTACGCTGTTTCAGACAAATTTATAAGTTCTGCTTTCTTGAGTGTATCAGTAATTCTACCCCAATTACACATGTCTGGCATGGCTGGATGATTCATAATCAGCATGTAGAAAGGGACCCCACAGCCTTGGAGGTCTAACGGTCTGTCATCTCTCTTGGTACTGGAATTAGTGCTGGGATTGAATGTCATCTCCGAAGGCAAGGAGAAATTGAGGGTTCTATTAAAAATGAACACTTCCTGCAGGCATCATCAAGTGTTCCTGACAGAAATACAACAGCATGGGTCTCCCAAGCAGGCTTTGTACAAATTCTCTAAGTAGTTGGCGTTTTCCCTTCCCACTCCTTTCTGTATAGTAACAGGTTGTAGCAAGCTCATACTTTTCCACTAAATGACAATGGGGAAACTATCAGGTCTTCTGTTCACGGAGCCAACGTGTTTCACGCCCATACAGGAGAGCAGGAATCTTAAAAAGTAAACTTCCATGCTGCTGTGGTGGCCTATGGCTGCTCTTCGAGGACTTGGGACATTAAGGCAGAGGACTGCATTTGAGGGCAGTCTGGGCATCATAGTGAGACTTCATTTCAAAAAACTCAAGCCAAAACAAAGAGTAAAATTTCACTCTGACCAGTTAAGTGTTTGATTACATGTGCCTCACTTCCTCATTGTTTATACCACCCCAACACTGAAATAACAAATAAAATATTGCCAGGTGAGATAACTGTCTAAAATTGTTTAAATTATACACAACCCCTATGTGATTTTCATACCGAAGAACACATTCCTTTTCTTGACCCATTTCAGAATAACTGGCTGACATTTATACCATCACCTCTCGAGACTGCCTATGTATACTTCCTATAATCCAGACTCTTCCTGCACATTCTAAGAGTGAGCAGAACTAGGATCTTAACAGACTCATTACTACAATCTAAATCACAAACGAACTGTTCTAATGTAATACTTAAGACAAAAGGACCTACAGCAGCAGCCCACTTTCATCAGTGGAAGCTATGTCCCAAGACTACCAGGTGATGTCTGAGGCCGAGGACAGTACTGACCCCTCTCTACTGCCAGCCCTCTGTCTGTGCCATCTTGAAAATATTCACATATTAAAAAATCTTATTTATACTAACCATGTATACTTTTGTCACTTGCTGAACAATACAGAATACCAACTACGTACATAGTATTTAAGTTGTATTAGGTACTGTAGGTAGTCGAGAAAAAATTGAAAAGTACATGTGAGGATACGCATAAGTTATATGCACATACTGCGACACTTTATGTAAGGGACTCAAGCATCATGGGTTTTGGTATCTGTGCAGCATATTAGACTCAATCCCCAAAATAACAGACAACTGTGCTTTTAGGTGGTGCTGTACTTTCATGCTTTTTTTCTTTCCTACAAATGCACTACCTGCCAACTTTGTAAATTAGGTAAAGAATGAAAAATAATAATAGTACAGCTGTAACAATATACTATAATGACAGTTAAATAAGTCTATTCTCGCAAAGTATCTTCTTAAAGCTAGGTGTGGTACCATATTCCTATAATCCCAGCACTTGGGAGGCTGAGGCAGGAGGACAGCCTCAGAGTTTAAGATCAGCATAGAATGCATAACAAGATTCTGTCTCCAAAAAAAAAAGTGTATGTAACAGCTTCACCTTTGCAAACCTGAATTGCTATTATCATGACTCTTGCCCTCTAGGGCCATTATTAAAATAATTGGTTAACTGAGCATAAACAACACAATAGAATGCCAGTCAATCTAAAAACCAAGACTGCTGCTAAGTCACTAAAGGGACCACACACAGTATAGAACATCTGGACAAAGGAATGACCCACATCCTGGACAGGATGGCATGAGATTCAATCATGCTGTTTAGAATGGCACATAATTTATAATTTATGAACTATTTCTAATTGTTTTCATTATCTATCTATCTATCTATCTATCTATCTATCTATCTATCTATGTATGTTTTGTTTTGGCCTGGGAATTGAACTCAGGGCCTCACGCTTGCCTGGCAGGTGCTGTGCCACTGAGCTATATCCCTGGCTTTCATTTAACATATCTGGACTGAGGCTGGATATGAACATATGAAACCTCAGGCA